TTTTTTTATTTTTTTATACATAACTTTTTAGAATAAAAGATTTGGTCCATAATGCCTTTCTTATGTATATTAAAATAAAAGTGTTGGTCCATAATGCCTTTCTTATGTATATTTTAATCCACTATAAAATTTTTATATTTTAATCATCATTAAAATACCATTGTCATCATCATTATTATTACTATTATTCAACATCACTTAGGGACAAAATTTTAATCGGTGTTCTTTATAAATGATAGTTTTTCAAAAATAAAAGCTTTGGGTTACTTATGAAGCATATTTACTAATCATTATATAAATCCTTATTTTGAAAAAAGTAAAAATTGAAAGTGGTGGGTAGTTTTACAAATTTACATAAAAATAAATTTATCTTGTCCGATATTTTTAATAATAATTAAAATATTTGTAGCTGCATATGTCCTTTTCCTTATTCCTTTAAATATTTTCCATGTTAGTGAATATATTTATGAAACTCCACATGGAATTTCCCATTATTTTATAATTTATAAAAAATATGTATGAATAATTTAATGAGTTACAAAAAATCATAAAAATATATTCATTTTTGCCATAGTTTTCCTCATTTAAAATTTAATAAATAATTTTATTTCTAAAATAATAAAGTAACTTTGTATATTAAGAGCTTTAATAAGGAAACTTCAATTCAATGCTCTTGCTGACATGAATGAGGAAGTGTTAAAAAATTGTCTAGTCAGCGTGCCAAATGTTGTAATTCTGGAAGCTCAACTCTCCTTTTTAATATATAAAGGATAGGTGCCGGTTTTAAGCCATGGTTTATGGCAAATTGCGTTATGGCCTTGTCATATTGTGTGTGTGTGTGTGTTTGTGTATGTTTAATAACAAAGTTGTCATAAAATCATGGCAGCTTATAACATAAGAATAATATTGTCTATGATTTCTTTGTACCAAAATGTGAAGTTTGAGTTGAGCTCATATCTTTTGATTCTGGTGAACCAGAACCCAGAAGATACTGTGTTTGGGATGCATTACCTGTGATTCTATACTGAAGTGTTGTAACTTTTTCACATTGACCCCCACATCTTTTTTCTTCTCCTTAGACTCCCATTGTCCCATAGGCCATAATATATATTCTTTTCTTTTTCTTCCCTCTCCCCCTTCTTTCTCTCGTTTCTTCTTTCTCTCTTTTCTTCTATTTTTTGTTTTTTTGTTCTTTTCGTTTTTCTTATTCGCGATTTTTTTCTTTTTTTTTCTTTTAATCCTTTTTTAACTCTATTTATTTTTTTATTCATTTTCACTTTTTATCATTTCTTTCCTTTTGCTTTTAATTTTCTTCGTTTTGCTTTCTTTTTGTTTTTAAATTTTTTCATTTTTTTAAATTTTTCTTTGTTTCAATTTGCTATTTTTTCTTTTTTATCTTTTTGAAATCTTTTCATTATTTTTTACTTTTATCAAGGGAATTTCTCCCTTTTAATAAATTTTGCTTGCATATACTTTTTCATGGTCTATTTGATAAAATAAAATATTATTATCCCCACTTATTTTGCATTACTTTTGATTTGCTCCGTAGATTTTAAATACTCTGTAAATAATTTGTACTTTTTATTTCGTTACCAAATTGTTAAAATAATACCAATTTAAAAGACAACATTTTGCCCGTTGTTCGAAAGATAATTGATTTTAAAGATAGAGGGAGTATTAAATTTCTTAGAGACATGCTTGTTCGTTGTAATAATACATACTCTCTTCGTCCCTAATTTGATTGCAAATTATGAGTTACGAGGTAGAATTTCTTATCTTTTGAAATCATTTTACTTAGAAATTGGTATATAAAAAAAAAATTACCTGGAGTACATATTAAAAAACTACGTTAAAATTTCTATAAAACGAGAAATGATAAAAGTATTTTATTTTATAAAATATTCAATGAAAATACGTATAAACAAAAGTTATTGAGAGGAAAAAAATTACTCCCTCCGTCCACCTAAGTTTTTTCCCGTTACGCGTTACGAGGCTTGACTGACTTTATTTTAAATTCAATTTAATTGATTATAGGAGTAAAATTTTAAAATAAAATTTATATAGTAATAAACTACATGAAAAGCTCTACAAAACTAGAGGTGACAAGACTATATTATTTTACGAAATGACTAGTAAACATGAGCAAACAAAGTAAGTAAAGTTTGACCCTGTGAATAGTGACTGAGAAGATCTATGGTGGACAGAGGGAGTATAATTTATTTCGGGACGGATGTAGTATAAAGTATAAACTGATGCTTGCAATTTTGAATGTTAAGACTGAGCTTAGTTATTTGTTTACAGAGTAAAATATACTCCGTAATTGTACTTAGTGTAAAACTTGCATATGTATTGAAAGTGTTTAATGATGCTAATATATCATTTTAACATGTGTACAAAACAACTAGTGACATGTTTTTTTGTAAGTATATTAAAATTGCTTCTTCTTTCAAGGAAATTAAAATTAATTTAAATTTGCATGATATTGCTGCTCAGATAAAATAAAAACTAATGTCATGTTTTACTATTCGCTGGTTAAACTTTTTCTTCTTTTTTTAATGAAAAAATTATTCAAAATAATCTACACTTTATCTATTCTATAAAAAATAATCTCATCTTTCACTGTGATACATGACAATTAGAAATTTGCAAGTTTGGATCGGTGTTAACGGCTAATTAATGGAGGCATATGTAGTGCTACAAGATGAAAGTTGAGATCATTTTTATTATTTTTTTATTTTTATTTAAATTTAAATTTTCTCTTAAGCTTTTAAAATGAGTTTCTACTTCCATAATTTTTTTTAAAGAACACTCTTAAATCTGAAAAAAAATAAAAAATAGAAATAAAAATTAACGAAAATGAGAAAAACCACTGGACATATACAAAAATAATGAAATAAAAATATAATTAATAAAACTAACCTCAAATTGATAAGAAATAAAAATAATAATATATAGAGTGGTGAGTTTTAACGTTTTAGGCATTATGCGAAGTATTAATGATTTAATGTATTGCCTCCTCCCATAGGTAAAAAATGAATATAAAAATAAAAAACAATTACTTTTGGGTAGCTTCAATTTTCTGGTAATAGTTCTCAGGTCCCACATTATTTTAAATATTATCCACGGTATACTTGATTTTTCTAGTAAGAACTCTCACGTCTCATATTATCCAAAATATACTTTAATGGTCCTTAAAATTTGTGGTAATGTACTATGAGGGTACATTCCGTCTATTTGGCTGTTAGGATTGAAAGTTCTATTACTATGATACTAAATTTTACATTGTTAATCATTATTTTATTAAAATAATGAGATGCGTGAAGGACAGCGATGGTAGAGTGTTAGTTGAGACTGCCAAGGTGGCTAAGCGCTGGGGGGAGTACTTTAGTGAACTCTTAAATGCGGGAGGAGACCAGAGGCTAGTTCTTGATGAATTGGGACATCATGGGGCGTCTCGTGTGTATTGCCGGCGCATTTGCTTGGAAGAGGTGGTTCGGGCTCTCCGCGTGATGCGTAGTGGGAGAGCTTTAGGACCAGATGAGATTCCAGTGGAGTTTTGGAAGCATGCGGGTCGTGGTGTGTGGGTTTGGTTAACCAAACTCTTCAATGTTATCCTCCGGACAGCAAGGATGCCTGATGAGTGGAGGGAGAGCTTTTGGTCCCTCTATTTAAAGGCAAAGGTGACATTCAGAGCTGCGAGAATTACAGAGGCATCAAACTGCTTAGCCACACCATGAAGGTTTGGGAGCGAGTCATTGAGTATAGGGTGCGGAAAGGGGTTTGCATCTCGGAGAACCAGTTTGGTTTTATGCCTGGCAGATCGACTACAGAGGCCATTCATCTCTTGAGGAGGTTAATGGAAGAGTATAGGGCTAGGAAGAAGGACCTTCATATGGTGTTTATTGATCTTGAGAAGGCGTCTGATAGGGTGCCAAGGGAGGTCTTATGGAGGTGCCTTGAGGCGAGAGGAGTTCCCATCGTGTACACTCACGCGATCAAGGATATGTACGATGGGGTATGACTAAGGTAAGGACTTCCGAGGGCGTCTCAGATTCCTTCTCGGTAGGGATGGGGCTGCACCAGGGGTCTGCCCTTAGCCCTTTTTTGTTCGCCTTGGTGATGGACGTCCTAACTCAAGGTGTTCAAGACGACGTCCCATGGTGCATGCTTTTCGCGGACGATATTGTGCTTATCGATGACACGCGTGAGGGACTAAACGATAAGTTGGAATTATGGCGCCTTGCACTTGAGACTAAAGGATTCAGAATAAGTAGGAACAAGACTGAATACATGGAATGTCGTTTCAGCGGCCGGGATACAGAACCAGAGGTGGATGTCCGGATTGACTCTCACCTAGTACCTAAGGTAGACAGGTTTCGATATCTTGGTTCGGTAATTCAGGCGGATGGGGAGTTAGATGCGGATGTTGGACATCGGGTTGGATTGGCTTGGGCGCCAAATGGCGGTTAGCTTCTGGGGTGTTGTGTGATCTGAAGATTTCGCCTAGAATGAAAGGTAAGTTCTATCGTTCCGTAGTCAGACCTGCTATGTTATATGGGGCAGAGTGTTGGGCGGTTAAGAAGACTCATGTGCGTCGTCTGCATGCGGCGGAGATGCGGATGTTACGATGGATGTGTGGGAAGACAAGGTTGGATAGGATTTCGAATGAAGTTATCCGACGTCAGGTAGGTATGGCACCGGTGGAAGACAAGTTGCGGGAAGCGAGGTTGAGATGGTTTGGCCATGTGAGACGGCGGGATGCTGACGCCCCTGTACGGAGATGCGAAAGGATTACGGTTATCAGGGGAAGGGGTAGACCTAAGAAGAATTGGGAGGAGTTGATTAGGAAGGATTTAGGACTTCTCGACCTGACTGAGGATATGACCCTAGATAGGAACCTTTGGAGAACTATGATTAGAGTAGCTGGATAGGAGCTCGGTGTTGTAGAGGTTGTTTTGTAGTGTGTTGTATTTGTTTGGAATCTTCTGCTATTGTTTGTACTTATTGCTTGTACTTGGTGCCTTATCTGTGCTATATTGTGTTCTCTTCCATATTTTTGTGCAGGTGGAAGCGGGGGTCTCTTGGAAACAGCCTCCCTACTTAGGGACAAGGTCTGCGTACACACACCCTCCCCAGACCCTACTGTTGTGGGATTCAACTGGATTATTGTTGTTGTTGTTGTATTTTATTAAATTTAAATAAAATTCCTCAATTTTTCATAGTAGAAAAACATTTAATCTAATTTCTAAATTAAGAACCCTTTGAGTATAATATCAAAAAGTTTAAGAACTTCCGAATAAATTTTGGATAATGTAGGATCTGAATCGAGGATACACAAAAGTATATTTTAGATAGTGTGAGACCTGTGAGTTATTATCAAAAAATCAGGAGTAATATTTCGTTTTGTTGGAGGCTTGGAGCTATAACATTTTACTAATCCGTTTTGAATTTTGACGGTCACTATTAAGGCCCCGTTCCGTTCAACTTATTTTTTCTTATTTTTTCTTATTCTTATTAAAATTAGATCAGATCAGATCAGATCAGATCGAATCAGATCAGATCAGATCCAATCAGATCAGATCAGATCCTATCAGATCAGATCAGATCCTATCAGATCAGATCCAATCAGATCAGATCAGATGAGATCAGGACTTATTAAAATAAGATCTCATCAAGAATTATTATTATTATTATTATTATTATTATTATTATTATTATTATTATTATTATTATTATTATTATTATTATTATTGTTCTTAAAAATGAAAAAGAATAAACTTTAGAAATAGGTTAAATAAAAAGCTGAGAAAGTAATCCTTAATTATTAGACGTCAGAAAAATTAGTTTTAAAATACATTGATAATGTCAATCTAATTCTACTTTTAAAATATATTTTTATTGCTACTTGAAATTTGAGTGTCTAAACTTTTGATCTTTTATAAGGATGAGATATTTTAAGAAAAATACTATCTCTTCTATATATTGATTATCTAAATTTAATTACTTTTAAATGTATATCTAAATTAAATATTTATTCTAATGTATAATTCTAATTTTACAAAAAAATTATCATAAAATAAAAAATATTATTGCATTATAATATGAATGATTATTCTAATATATGAATTAACTATTTTTATTTTATTAAAAAATAATCATTAAATAAAAAATATTGATTATATTATAATATGAATTATCATTACAATTTTCAAATGTTATTATAAAGTGAAATTAAATTATTGATTTGAAATTTTAAATTAAATCATAATTAATCAGATCAGACCAGATCAGATCAGATCCAATCAGATCTGATCAGATCCAATCAAATCAAATCAGATCAGATCAGATCCAATCAAATCAGATCAGACCAGATCAGATCAGAACTTATTAGAATCAGATCAAATCAGGAAAAAATAAATTGAAGGGAACTCAGCCTCCCAAAAAATTAGTACCGGTAGACGGTAGTATTAACATCGTCACTTCTCCCTCTTTCAGTTGAAACCCTTCTCTCCCAAATTTCTTTCTCACATAAAATCAAAAGGAATTCCATTTATCCAAATTGGAATAGAAGCTTATAGCTCGCAGAATAATGGCTCATGATATAATCTAGATGCTATTAATGATTAATATTCAAGTGCTTATAATGATTTATATATGCTCATTACTGCTTCCTTAACGTTATAAACCAATTCGATTTTAGGTTTTCTGGAAACCTTACCAAATGTGGAAGGCATCATTTGTCAGATTGCTGAGAAGTCGCCCTCCGGCGGCGACGTCGACGACTGCGAGCAGGTGTCCAAGTCCGTGCTCGGATGGGAGTAACAGTAGAAGTAACCGCGGAAACTGTTTCAGCGGGTTTGGATTGATCGGATCTAGGTATTGTAGCTCTGTGGTCGCCGGAGGATATGGGGACGGTAGAGCAGAAGGGAAAGGGAGTGCAGAGCTGGTGTCTGAAGAGGAGGCGAAGAGGCTTATGAGGTTGGTGAATGTGAAGGCGTTGAAGGAGAAGCTAGGGATGGAGGAGAAGGAGGTGATTGGCTACTCGGAGCTGTTGCAGGCGTGTGAGAGTGTTGGCATTGTCATGTCTTCCGAGGAGGCTGCCGCCTTTGCTCGTGTCCTGGACCAGGCAGGTGTCATTTGGATCTTCGGTGATAAAGTCCATCTTCACCCTGACCTGGTACACACATCTCTCTCTCTCTCTCTCTCTCTCTCTTTCAAATTTAGTTTCAGTAGTTTGTCTTCCATGGTGTATTAAAAATTATGTATGAAAAATGATGAGTTGCCACATCCTTGCCCCAATTGCTTTGTTTATCCCCTTCACAGAGACATGCAATGTACAGCGTTTTCAAAAAATGTGGTTTGAAAGCGTAGAGTGCAGTTATTGGAGCTTGTCTTGAACCTATTTTGAATCCAGCTTGAGCTTGACTTGTTAAGGTTTTGATCACGGGACCGAGATCGAAACCGACTTGATTCAAGCTTGATGTTGAACCCTGTCAAGTGTCGCCCACTTGAGCTCTCGAGTCACATTCAAGTGGCAATGTCTATTGGACTAAAAATAACATTTATGTCCTCATTTCGTGTCGTGATCAATTTTTGGTCATCTTTACTACCACCATAAAGTCAATTGTCAGTGATTTCTTTTTGGATGAAAACTTACTTTTTACAACTAATGGTGCTAAAATACACTCTCTTAGTGTCTTTCACATGCATTTGTTAATGATGTTCAATTTGGTATGCATTAATTTCAGCTTATTTTATCACATACTCCATACTTTGTATATTTTTGTGTTAAATGTCTGAACTCTTGAATCTTCTCGTGAAGGAAAAAAGTAGTTTGTAACGTCTATATTAACCTAATAAGAAAATGTAAAAGTCATTTGACTGAAATGGATGTTGGAATCTGCCATTTTTTGTAAGGAAAAGTATTTGTGACATTCATTTCAGCCAAATAAGTCAAAAGCTACTTGCTTTTTATTTTACTCCCTCCATCCAACTTTAATCTTCTTCTTTACTATTCACAAGATCAAACTAAATGTTCTTTCCCTTCTTATTTTCTTTAACCATTTGTCAAAAAAAATAGTCAAATCACTTCTTGTTTTGTAGAATGTTTGATGTAGTTTTTAAATACTATGGTATATAATTACTTTTTAAATTATACACCAATATTTGAAAATAACTTTTGTCAAACATCATATTTCCAAAAGGGAATATTAAATAGGGACACGGGGAATATTTTTTTATCACGGGACAAAAGGAGTATTTATTATGCACAATTTGCTTATCCAGTAAGCCACTTTTAGCTACCAAAATGAACCTAAGTCAGATTTCGTATCATGCTGATAAGAACAAACCAGTTATGGGCTTACGGCTGCCAAACTGAGCATTAATATGGTGTATGCTACATGCACTTTGGGTGTCATGTAAGGCTATCTGATTGATTAATTGCTCATACTGAATGTTAAAGAGTGTATGTCATTTGGATCCTCTACCATACCGTAGAGGATGATCTCAACCCTTCAATGTGGGGTCCATGTTGATCCGACAGGAATACCCAAAGAGTCCAAACCTGTTTCCTTCCACTTTTGATCAATATGACTCTTTTAAAATGTTCAGGTAGTTCACCGGGTTAGGAAAGCAGTACCTGTTGCACTTCTACCTGAAGACGACCCCTGCAAGCACGAGCTCCAGAAGCTTCTGGAAGGAAAGGAGGAGATCGAAAAGCTTGCGCACAAACAGGTACGCCGCATCCTATGGATTGGTATGTGTGCTGCCTTAGCACAGATAGGGTTTTTCTTTCGGCTCACATTCTGGGAATTCTCTTGGGACATTATGGAGCCCGTTGCATTCTTCATCACTGCAACTGGGATAATCGTAGGCTATGCCTACTTCCTTTTCACATCAAGAGACCCTACATACCAAGACGTGTACAAGAGGCTCTTCCTTTCCAGGATGAAGAAGCTCGTCAAGAAACACAGTTTTGACATCCATAGGTTAGCAGAGTTGCAGAAGAAATGCAAGTTTCCATTGGATGTGCCAACTTCCGGTAAGAGACGCATGGGAGTGAAGTGGGAGCTCGATGAACTTCTACATTAGAATTGAAAGGATTGAAAGACATCATTGACCTTGTGACCTTAGTTGCCCACCCCTTGCTAAAAACAAATTACTCCGTATTATAGAACATATCTTCGACGACCAATTACTTCATTTCCGCGGGGCGGGGCATTGTGTTGTTTTATTTAAAAGCTAACTATAAAAAGTATGATGTTCCATAACCACTCATTTAGTATCCATTTGGTATCTGAGGATTGGTAGGTACTTCATCTCCTAATTTATCCTTGTCTAATTTGACATATTGATCTTAACGTAGACCTTACATATAGACATTTTTCTATGGATTTATCAGTTACAACTTTAAATTTAAATGTTAATAAATTCATTTCGAAATGTTGTTTAATTATATATTTTTATTATCTAAATTTATATATAAATAGAGATATTATTAGTGATGTTACATTGGAGATTATCAAATGAGAAAAAGATATGGGATGGAAGGAGTATTACATTTTAGCACAATGAGGAACTCAAATAATATCACCATTGTTGTGTATTAGTTCAGTTTGACATTTTTTATGCAAAATGGATAAACCTCAATTTTAAAACAATTCCATTGTATTGAAGAAGCCAAACTATGGGAATATTTCGTATATAATGAACTTCCAATCTTCCATGAGCCCTCCTCAATCCTCACTCAAATGAAAGATTATGAGTTTTTAAGGCTTTGGTCCAATATGTTGTTAAAAAGATTAAAACCACCTCATGCATGAATATAAATGAGAAATCCACATCTTCCCCTTGTTTTGTCCCATTTTAGTCTTACTTGACTGCATATGTACTTTTTAATAAAGTGAAATTATGCGATTGATAGTTATGCTAAATGAATAAAAATTTATGTAAATAGTACTAAAATATAGCGACTTTTTCAATGTAGTATCATATACTTTTATTTCTCAATGTAGTATTAATGGTCATTTTCCATTGATTATTGTTCAAGTAAATATTCACCGCCAATGGACATATTCTAAATTAAATGTCCACCACTGGACATTGTTCCCATTATTAGACATTATTTAAGTACTATTTAAAAAATAAAAAAATTAGTACTACATTGGAAAAGGACGTATGTTTTGATACTATTTAGTATAAATTTCACTAAAAAGAAATATAATATGGATCATATACTATTTTTTTTTTATATAAAAGAGAACATGCAAAATAATTTGGGATAGACAAGAAAAGAAACTATTCTACTTTCGCCCTCAATAGCGTTGGATCCTGGCTCTGCCACTTAAAAGTGGTGAATATGATAGTATGAAAATTATTGAGTAAATTACATAAATGATCCCTATTAGTACGTGATATTTGATATTTAGTTCCTGTTTATCAAATATTACTAGCATATTCCACTTTTCTTGGTTCGTTTCCACATCCAGTCCTTCATCACTCATGTTATTGTCTATTTGTTGAATACATCATTACATAAGTAATTTTCCACCTCCACCAGTCCTCCTCATATATTTCTTTGCTTGCATGGTTAAGGTCCACCATTCAGATTGTCATGTGCAATGGAGACAGTAACTTTCGGGCTATGCGATTTTGCGATAAAGACAAAGGTTGAGATTAAGATTTGAGGGTTAGCTGAGAACAGGGAGGGGTAACTTAATAGAAGCGGGTGTGAGAAATTACCACTTCAAAAACAGGAGTGACGGAGGATAAATCATGGGAAAAAAATCAAAAAGCAAAGACTACACTTGTAATATATGATAAATAGGGGTTAAATATAAAAAGTTGTTTGTAACTAAGGACTATTTATGAAATTTACTCAAAATTACTCCGGTATTTTATAATTAATGAACACTTAAAAAAACATACTATATCTGATACACTTTCATCCATGCCTCAAGGGATTGCATCTTTGTCTTCTAACCCTAAAATTAATCCTACTCATTTATCATGGACTTAAAATGTGTGAGCTTTGATGACTAGAGCCTAAATAGCAATATTAATTGTGAGATGGACCGAGTCTATTGAGCAGAACACGTCTTGCACATTCAAACCGGTTGCACAATAATTAAAAAGGCGGTATTTCCAAATTTCGACAATTAAGACTTGTGAGGTTGAAGTTTAACCACATCTATGAATGATTGTTAGAGAAGCTTTTCATTCATCAATCCTTGCCCGCACTTGCAGTTAGATTTGATCACAGGCTTCATTAGGCTAATCTAAGTCCCCCCAAAAAAACTTAAATCCATCAAAAAAAACATTGTGTTAAATTTCTCCAACACTAGAGTTAAAAAAAAACTTTTCATCACTAAGACTAAATAATTACAGATGGCTAATCTTCCCTGTACAGCCCAGTGCTTACAGAAGCTTGTACAGACCATTCTTTTTGAATACCAAGAACTCACATTGAAGAGAAGTCAGAAGCTCAACAATCGATTCCTCGGTGGACCCGTTGAAGTGCTCCAAGATATCAGGAATAGACACCTGTGCATACTAAAGTTAGAGAATGTTTGGATCTTGAAAATGATTTAGCTCACATAAGACATAACTTACCCCATCATCAAAATTCTTGAGCCAGCTTAGTAAACTTTCCTCTGTTACCTCCATTGCTGTGGATGTTCTTGTCTCAGTCCCATCAGTTTTTTGGCGTTTTACAGGAAAGTGCAACATATCATCCTCCTCCACGTCCACACTCTCAGCCGGGAGATTGATTTCCTCGCAAGAAGAGTAGTCGCCATTTGATATTTTTATTATTTCTTCGACTTTTGACAGCTCATCCAGGCATTCACCAGTTGTGGGGTCATGTGGCTGGTTAGATGTAAATACATTGTCTGAAACTCCCAACTCTTGCATCACCAAATATGCCTTAATCTGAGGGTAACTCACCTGATCATTGAGAGGACTCCATTTTATTAATCATTATTAGATGTTCTGATGATGATGAGTGTTTTAGCTACTTTATGTGTTATGTTTAAATGTGCGTGTTTTAATTACTGATACCAGGTTTAATATTACTCCATCTGTATACATAGAGTTTGGTTTATTGACATGATGTTGTCCACAAAAAGAGTCATGCTTAATGAAGCAGACTACTCCCTCCATCCCAAATTAAAAGTGTGTTTTGACCGGACACGGAGCTTAAGAGAAGTGTTGAAAAGAAACATTGTGTGGTTGAAATTGGTTTGAAAGAGAAAAATTAAGATGATCACATATTACCCAAAAAAAAAATAAAATTGACTTTTATTTTGGGATAGACCAAAAAGGAAAGCGTGTTATTTATTTTGGGACGGGGCCCGGGGGAGTAATTTTCATGTTTTTTAATGGTTGTATCTTACTCAAAATTTGAAGAACCCAGATTGTTTATATGGGACGGAGGGACTGCTAGTTTTCTATCAAACATCATAATCTGAAACAACCCCTTATACTTGGTAAAATTTTTGGGACAAAGGGAGTGCCAGAAATTAGATCTGTCAAACTTACCTCTTCTGGGAGCTCAGTTTTAATAGGTTTCATCTTCTCTTTGCCAACTTTGGAGACAGCGGTTGCAATCATGGAGAATATCTCTCTTGTCAACCCAATTTCATCAAAAATTCTGCTCCAACTAACAGGGAATCCCTCACGTGCAGCTTCAAAGATGTACTCGAGTATAGTTTGTTCTTTTACTGGGGCAGCCCTCCCAGGAAAATTCTAAATTGTAAATAATAAGTCACAGTTATAAAGTAGTAATATACACAAAAATCGGGCATAAGAAATTGAAGAAAGTGTTTAGTTGAAAGACTCAACAGCAACTTCCTGGAGGCTACGACCATCTTCTTGCCACATCTTCCATGCTTCAAACTTTGCCGGTGTTAATTTCTTATTGCCAGGTAATGTGACTATCCTATTAGTGGAAACAGAAGGCTGAACATTTTGACTGCATTTCTCTCCATCCAAAGTGAGATCCAGTCCCTCAGACAGTTGTTTAACACTTTGAAGAAAATGGTCTCCATATGTTTTCATAAAGTGCTGCATTGGTTTTAAGAACTTAGCCTCAGATTTATGTATATATCTGTGAAATTGACATTTACATGGAAAATTGCAGACCCATAAAATAAATACCACAATTTTATTGCCATAAACATAATGCTCACTCCATCCATTAAAAGAGTCATGTGATCAACAGATTCTTGTCTAAAGAGTCATGTATTTCGAGATAATATTTCAAGTACTTTGCCAGAACAAATAAGAAAGCAAGTTTTATTTAATAATTTTAGTTAACCTTATGACTTACTCCATATATAGTACGAAGTATTACATTTGCATCTAAGTCAATTATCAAACAAGGCTTTATTGGGGACCAGATGGAGAAAGTGAAAACTTATTCCACCTGTTGAATGTAAGGGTAAAGTGGTAAACTAACTTAAAAATATTTTTATGATGTGGATTGAAAATACAAAAGGAAGAACAAAAAAACCTCAACCAGGAGATAATGTTACCTGGTTTACGCCATCTATGTTTGCTAGCCTTGCTTTCGTAGAAGGCCTTGTCAAACTTATCCTTTTCAGTGTAATATCACCACAAATTGCATACCTAGACGTCAGAAGCACATGGTAAAGGGACTGATAAAGACAAAGAGCCTGTTGAATCTCATGATAGAAAATAGTTCAAATGCGCATGTTGACTCTCATGATAGAATTATAGAAAGTAGTCCCAATGAGCAGTTTGCAATAATAATGAAAATCATATACTGCCTAAAGCCCCCCAAAAATCATATTTCGAACTTTTAAATTTAATAGGGTGCAGATATTGGAAATGATCAATTCTATCTAACTTTTTAAATTTACTTGCTGGTTCAACTAAATTTAATACAAAGCATATTTTACTTGTTTGGGACACGTGTGTAAAAAATACCTTTAATATGAAGAAATTTACATTCTTTTGTTCACAGATGACTCTTTTCTTATGGAAAAATAAGTCAAATAGAGGCATAGAGCTTCTTCTTCTTCTCTGTGAAAAATAAGTATTCAAATTGGACTCTTTAGGGTACCGTGGGGAGTAAAGTACTTACGGTGCAGTTCCATTTGCTCTTGCAACCTTCTTCCTCTCTTCCAAGAGCATTTTATAGAGTTGCACTTCAGCCTGAACCAAGAGGCAGTTTTCAAATGTAAAAAAGAAATTACCACAAAATTCTAATATATATATATATATATAGATTTTGGTTCTGGTGAGAATGCAATCTTAGGAGAGAAATGAGAATGAATCTGGAACGTTAGATTGTGAGATCTAAGGGTCAAGATTTCATCAAAATTAGATGCACCAAAATGGTGCGAATATGCATCACGTCGAAATGCACCATAAACCTTCGAAAATGCACTATCTCAAAATCTGAGCGCAGGATGCAATCTCAGCCGCACGATGCATCAGATCCGACGGCTAGATTTTATTCTCATTTCTCTCCACAAGGTGCATTCTCACGAGAACCGGCCCCTATATATATATATATATATATATATATATATAATACGGAGTAAATAAATATAAAGAGTATTGGATATCAGTCTTTGGATCATTATTTAACTATCTCGAAAACACTTTTTTTGCAGATAAAAAAACTGCACAATTGAACATTGAATGAAGTAGAAAGTACAATAATCTTTTGAGTTTTGACATATGCAGACTATACAACAACCTGGTTTTAAGTAAACTATGCTACAAAAATTAAAAAATAATGGTGGCAGTTTGATAACAAACCTGAGACAGCCCTTCATATTCCGTAGTCAAACCATGGCTTCCTCTATTTTCAGTAGATGTGTCTGTACCTCCCCCATCAACCGTCATTTCAGAACTAATGGGTAGAAGTAATGGAGGTTGGTAATCAGGGTTACACGATCTCAAGAATTTTGATCCCTTTGGACTAACACTAATGGATTAAAGGGAAAGGCGGTCAGTGATTATTTAATTTTAGTTGAACCACAATACTCTTAACAAAGTTTATGTCCTTTTTTGGTTGGAATGATTTGGAGGGGAGGAAAGTGAAGTAGTGGTGTCTCTTTTGTTGGCAGTTTGGACTACATTATCATTGTTATCCATGTAGATCAATATGTTTTTGAACGCAACAAAACCCATAACTATCAAATACTACATACAATATATATACATATACTTTCAAAAATACTAACTAATTAAAGTATTAAACCAAACATTATACATTTTTAATTACCTTCATTTTCCTCCTATCCCCTTCCATCATTCCTCATCTTCAACACAAATTTGAACCAAACAAGGTCTAAGAGAAGATGAAAAGATTGGACAATAAACTCTTAAGCTGTTTGATCGATTATATGATATCTACCTTACAAATTTGTACACATCTTCATAGGTCTCAAATAAATATCCTGCATATAAAAAGCTGTGCACATTAATTTCTCATGTCGCCCATATTTTAAAAACTGTTTAAATATTGTGCTCCATGCTCTATGTATCCTACTGCATGCTTTATTTCTTGTACCCCTTCACTCATGAAACACAAGAGCGTACAAGAAATAGGAAACAGAGCATTACAAGGGTAAGAGGGCAAATACTTGAGCTTTTAAATTTCGTTAGATAGCTGGGAGCTGCTGCTATATACCACGTGAAATCAATTGCTCGGCAAGGTCTTTCCACCAATTTGCAGGAAACTCCTTTCCAAGTCCATGAAATGGAATCTTATCAAACTGAGCTTCAAGAACTTTCTTTGACTGTAACAAAACAGAGTGCATTATTTGTCCCCAGAGCTCGCAAGAGTAAAAAACAATAACATAATAAAAATGAAATCCTACAAGAAAAATAACAATTAGTAATCTAGCAATTTTCCCAGAATGGAAAAAAGTCTTCTATATTGGGAAAACATCCAATGACCAAAGCCTGACTTTGAAAACCCATCTTTAGCTCACCGGGTTCTTCACGGTTGGTTATGGAGTTCAAGATTTATGCTACTCCAGACTAATTAAGGATATTTTCTGAAGCATTCCCTTCTATACTTCATATAAGCATGTATTATCTTAAACTATCATAAGAAAAAGGCCTACTCGAGAACCACGAAGAACGTCCACAGGAAGATTCAAGCCCCAGCGACCACGACAAGATTGAATGCATGCCATAAGGAGAAATGCTTCTCTTGACATATCATTCTCCTTCTTTGGACTAGTGCAATTATCACAATTCCCTGAAATAGTACATGAATCAATTTCATTTTCTTTCTCTATACAAGCAGTGAGCCTAAAGAAAAAAGATCCAGTACCCCGCTCAACTAAACCAGGAAAACAAATATTCACTTCTAGCTACAAAATGGTATTGAAAAATGGATCAGGCTGACAGGTCAGTAAAGAATGGTCAGGCCACAAAACCGGTGTGGGGGTGGCAAAACGGTTGAATAGCCAGTTTACGTGTTCAGACGGTTAGATTGTTTCTCAGCCCAAAATGCTAACTTTCATCAGATCCTCATGGACAAACTCGTTGTTTGTAGTTTAGGTTTTTCAACTGAAGAGTTAACATCTAAACATCTCAATTTAATATGATTTGATGGTGATTGTTGAAATAAAGTGAAAACATAATTGTTGAATTAAAAAAATACACGTTGCGTAAACTGAACTTACACCCTTGAGTTGCATACAAGAGATGATTTGATTAAACAAAACTAAAATTTGACCATGATACCATGAAGAAATGCTGAAGATACTACACAAAGGAAAATTGATAAGAATTAAATTAAGGCCATACCACAGTCATCATAAGCACATGTCTCTCCAAAGTATTCTAGAAGATATTTTCTCCTGCAAGTTGTGGACAAACAATAATGTTGTGCGGCAATAAATGATTCCATGATAGCACTTCGCTGATCTGCCTAACCAGATTAAAATAGTGAAATAAGATCAATTATTTTATTGTAACAACAGTTCTTGTATAATGAATTATGGGTTTCCAACAGATAGAGCATCCTAGATTTTTTAGAGAAGGACAACATACTGAAGATGCTTCTCTGCAGTAATAATCAGCTTTAGCAAAGTCACTTCTTGTGTAGTAAAGCCAGCAGATTGAAGGAATCCCATCTCGGCCACATCTTCCACTTTCCTGGTAATAAGATTCCAAACTCTTTGGGCAGCCATAGTGTATCACATTCCTTACATTTGGTTTATCAATACCCATACCAAATGCAACAGTGGCAACCATCACATAGATTTCATCTCTGATAAATGATCTGTAAAGGGTATATGTATCAGTTATATTCCCTTTCATTCACCTAGAAAGTCGAACATAAAAAAAAGCTGGGAGATCTTATCAATGATAATGAACAATGATTAAATAAAAAATTGCCACTCTGCTCCTTGATAACATCGCAAACTTCTAGATCTCTGGTGCAAGGGAAGTAACATAGAAAATGAAAAACACGTTAAACCTATGCGCCTCTTCACGTGCTTTATTAGACATCTGGCCATGATACATTCCAGCCCTGACTCCTGCTCCAATGAGGTACTTGAAGAGCTACAGAAACCATGGGCATCAGATTAGAACCAAGTTGGAGACATCAGCAATGTCATACCCAGTGTGATCCCACAAGTGGAGTCTGGGAGGGTATAATATAACACCTTCCATATTGTGATATTAAAGATAAACTTCAATAGTACTACCTATATAGACACTAAGATATCTAATTTGGCATTGCTGCACTTAAGTATATCTGATTGGACATATGGTGCATGAATAAAAAGATCATAGTATTTCTAGAAGACATCAAAAGACAAAGACCTCTTCAGTGTCTTTAATTGTTGTACAATATATGATAGTTGAACTCGCATCCTCTGCATACTTGAAGGCCTCTTCTACTAGCTCGTTGACAAATAGAGAGCCATGAGTGAAGGATTTGACTCCATAGAAGATATTCTTGCGATCAAAAGAGCCTATAGCAACATGAGGGTCTTTCATCTCCAAGGAATTTATAATGTCACTCCGAACTCTGAAAGACATAAAAAATTCATAAATACTTCCATAACTAAAAATATAGAGCCAATAGAGCAGTGATTAGTCAAGGCAATACTGGCATTGTCGTCATTGTGATCACCTCCTTAACAATATTGTGTTGGGTCAGTGGAATGAAATTTACAGTTTTATTTAGTCATCTAAAATTACTTTAACACTGAATTCATATAAAAACAAGGTTGCAGATATTACTCCAGACTCCCTTCTGATTAAAACCTTCAAAAGGAAAAAAATAATGAGATGAAATTTTGCAACAATCATCATCATCTGTGTTTCCCATTGCATGGACAATATTATGAAATGCAAAGTTAGTATGCACAGCAAATGTTATCACCGTGCTGTATGGTAGCTTCTTGAAATGACATGTAGCATTAAACGTCATTCAGATTTGAAAAGCTACTGAGCAGAAATGTAATATATAAAAATTTCAATTAACATTCAAAATTTAATACCAACAGAAAGTAAATTGGTTTTAAGAAATAATGAATCAAAAGACAATCGTACAGTCTTTCTACTACACAAAAATATTTTTCCAATAAAAATTGTTGGATGCACGAATAAGTAGTGCTAAAGAAAAATAAGCAAAAACATGGAACTGCTGATATGTCTTAATGTACCTACCTTTCCGTAGCAGTTGCGGTGAGGGAAACAAAAGGAACCCCTGTAAGAACATCGCGCAATTTGTGTAACTGCTTGTACTCTACCCTGCAAAAAAATCAGTATTTCTAGAATATCAGAAACATCTTTTAACATAGCCAACTAACTTTCTCTTTTGCAAAAAAGCTCCAAGCTTCCAACCTAAAATCATGGCCCCACTCGGAAATGCAATGTCCTTCATCAACAGCCAAAAGACAAATCCCTGATTTCAATAAGCTAGACCAGAAACTGTTGTAGCAGTGGAATGTTTCGGTTAGGTTAACACTCATACGGAGTAGCTCATACCATTATGTTTCTTTAGCATATTAAAATGTACAGAATACCTGGTAGGAATAGAACAAGCCTTTTCAGGAGTCATGTACAAAATGTCATATTGACCAGATTCAGCATCGCTCTGCACACTGCGGTTAGTCTGGGCACTCGATAGAAACTCAGCTTTAATGCCTCTTTCCTTTAAGGCCATTACCTTGGTAAAATACAGTACATAAGTATCACATTTTATTATGATTAAGGTAAAGCAAAGGCTCTCATTTCATAAAGATATAATGTTTTCTCCTCTGTATCCAAATTCCAAATCAACTTTACAATTTTCATTTTTTGGAAGTTTATATATCAACTTTACACATCTTCACCTTTTTCTTCTAGGGAATAAACAATGGTAGAGCTTAATTTCTCTCTTGAAAATATATATCAATCAAGCGTTTTTCACCTTTAACCAAACAACTTTTGTTTTATCAATAATTTTCTTAAACTCAGTGAAGTCAAAGAGTCGAGTTGAATTGGAGGAGGGAGCATAAACTACTTAGTAAACTAGTATCATAAATTATCAAAAAAAAAAGAGAAGAAGAAGCTATATTTTGAATTCCATTTGTTCACTCAACCTGCGTACATTTTTAAAAAATAAAAAACATATTACTCCAAACATGGCATCTTTAGTTCAAAAAAGACTCTTTTTTTGGGACAATAATAAGTTTTTCAAACAAACACTTTTCTGGGTATCAGAGAGTAGGCACATTGAGGGCATACCTGATCTTGCATCAAAGATATGAGAGGGCTAATCACTACAGAAACCTTTTTAGTGATCAAAGGGGGCACCTGATAACTTGATCATACAATCCAAAAGCATGAAAATTAGGTCAATCGGAAACTGAAATCACGGGAAGACAAAAAAATGTCAAATTCTCGTCGAAGAATAAAGAGCTTACCAGAGTGATTTGCCACTGCCCGTGGCCATGACAACCAAGCAGTCTTTTCCATCGACGATTTTCTCGATCACTTCTTTCTGGTAGGGCCGAAATGCCGAGTGCCCAAAGTATTTCTGAATCGAAACAATGATATTTTCTAGGTTTAGCAACCCAGCAAATTGAAAACACATAAGAGAAAAAGGTGGATATTGAAAAGAAACGAAGAACCTTGAGAATGGAGATCATGGCTCCTGCACCGGGAGCTCGGCGGAGATGGAGGTGGGGAACAGCGAAACCTAGCGAGTGTCCGACAGAGTACTGAGCCACTATATGGCGGTTCGTTTTCCCGCCATAATAAAGCTTACTCCACCAGCAATAGTCCACCTGTGTGGAAAAAAACATACACTCAATAACTAATGATCATTTTCGAGTAATTGAATATTCATTTTGAATAAAAGAATACTAATTTGTATTACTGAATTCTCATTTTTTAACATAATTGAATTTAAAAAATAAATATACAATAGTCACTCGAAAATTAGTATGTTATCATTTGTGAAAGAATATTCAGCGCGGATGTATGAGAATCATTATACAACTGGTTATATGGTATATATTAGAGTATTCAATTTGTTTTAACTTTTGCTTGAGCGTGTATTTTTATTTGTCATTTAATTAAATAAAATACACACATCACCATTTTTTGTAAACCTCTTAATGTAATTTTTAAACATATAAATAATACTTTTTATTTCAATATTAATTTATAAATAAAATTATTAGAAATCACCCTAAATAAGACTAAAATATAAAAAAAATTATCAAAATAAGATATTTCATGTTTTTATTCACGAAATAGAACTTCGTACTGTAATAATGTGGTGGTAATGTGATAGTGTACATATGTATATTACTATACTTTTTAGTAATATACATGACCATGTTTGGTAATGTAAATGCATTTTAACTCTTATTTCGAGAATAAAAACATGATAGTCTTATTTTGATATGTTTTCAATGCTTTACTTCTTTAGTCTTTTTTCCTAAAATTTTTTAAAAGAGATGATTTTACACATTGTTTTAAACAATGTGATAAAATTGAAATTGAAACTGAGTGAATATTAAAATTAAAAACCATTGAATCGAGCTATTGAAAATTGAATCAAAATTGAATGAGAATACTCGAACTAAGTCGAGCATGTTTAGTTTCAAATTCTATATTCACTCTCAAAAACGAATCAAACCAAATTATTCAAATAAACTAAACTTCCAACAATGCATCATTTTATTCTTGCAGCAAAAAAGGTTGAATCTCCGATCCCAAGGCTCTTCACACCCTTGTAGCAATTTTACCTCTTTCGAAACTGACTTGACTAAGAGCAATGGCAACGACGTGCCATTTTAGCCAGCACGCTACCACATAGTATCTGCCTCGCACCACATCAGCAACTGCCTCGCGTTTTTTGTGCATTCTTCCACGGTAAGTGAGGTAGCCTCAAGGCTGCCACACTCTATTTTTTATTTTTAAATTAGGTTAAAAATTTAAATAATGACTGTGCAATTTCTAATTGATTGAATTGTGCCACATCAGCGTGTGACATTCCATTTCTTTATTTGCCATTGTGAATGCTTTAAGCAGCTGCAGGCAACAATGCATCATTTTATGTAATCAATTAGTCACGCATTTATGGCTCGTTTTGTATGTTTTAAAGATATGTTATAAATTTTAAAATCGGAAAAGAAATGATTTAAGTTTTAAACTTTGAAATAAAGTTTTTTTGAAAAAAATTAAAATCATGATTTAATTAATTACTAGTAGGTGGGGATAGCCGGCAACAGGGTGGTTGGCGATGGTAGTAGTAGCCGGGTGGTCGACAAGAGAAATGTAATAGCCATCCAAACAGTCATTTCCTCTATGTTTCATGTTTACCACGCCGGTCCTAAACTAATCGAAGACGTTTGTTCCCCATAAGAGCACATTTAGAAACATAAAATGAAACACAATAAATTGACCAAATTATCCTCCCACACACTCCAAAGTATCTTTTTTTGTTAATTACTTACCTAGAAATGGATACTCGTAATTTATGAGTAATGATAATCTTGAAATCCACAAATCATAGTCTCACATAAAGAGCTTTCTGTATTCAGCTGCCTCTTGAGACATTTCATCTGGGGTTCTGTCCTTCCTTTCCTTGTCCAAGTCAAGAGACTGCTTTAGTTCCTTCTCTTTTTTATCCAACTGAACCATGATCATGCAAGTATCAGTAATAGAAGTTGAAAAAAGTTAATATAACAGAGCAAAACATTGCCATATTTTTTATCCTTACAGCGTCATATATCTCATCGTTTCTCTCAAAGTCACCACTTTTGCGAGGCATAATGTGAATATGAACATGAGGAACGGTCTGTCCAGCCTGCGGTCCATCCTGTATATATAGGAAGAGGCAATGAATCAACGAATGAAGGTTCTCGGCAAGCAAAGTTTGGATAATGGAAATAGTTCATGCCAACTACAAAACCAAAAATCTCAACAATGAAAATCATGTTCTAAATGTTTTATTTGCCTGAAATATTCAAAAAAAAAGCTCACGGTGGTAAATTTAGTCAAACTTGAAGTTAAGCTAAAAATATGTAACTAGGATTCCATGACTTTTAAGAACTACTCTATCATGCTAAAATTTAAAAGGTTTATTTCGTGAAGTATAGAACATTGTGCATTGGCTAGACTTTTAAAAATGCTGCAGTACATCACAAAATGAATACTCCTTCAAAATGAAGGGTGCTCATGGCTTAAAAAGCCCCATGTCCAAACGAACTCTAGAGGCTAACCCAGACCAGCTATGCAATTATCATTATTTGCAAGCGTGAAGTAAATTTGTTCACAATACTAGGAGCCACCAAAGAAGCTTGTTTTTAATAGTAGAAATGGGGAGCGAGTAAAACATAAGAGCATCAAGTTGTGGGCTTGTGGCTAATGCTATTCAAACACGAGTTATTAGTAAAGCTAGAATAATTTCTAGAGAAGTGACAATGATCACATCTCAAGTTTCTACTTAGGGCATGCTCATTCCATCTTATATTTAGTTCAGTTACACACTTTTCAGCTAGAAGTTAACACTAAATTATTCAATGTTTAGTTTAGCCCAAAAAAATTACTCTAAAAAAGCATAATGTTAGTTAGAGTTCATGCCTTCAATTGCTTCACTATCCGCACACAATACAAGAAAATATTAATGGTATATAAGCTTTAAAAAGATACACATACTTGGATTGCAAAAGTGAGTGATGATGCATTGTGGTAAGACTCGAGTTGGCCCCCAATCTTTTGTGCCACACACCACAAGTCACTAGTCTCGTCAGCAGTGAGATCAACAAAGCGCTTCACTTCACGCCTTGGGCAGACAAGCACATGTATGTTTGTGTTAAGTCAACCCAATATGTAAAATTGAAGTTCAAACTGAAGAACTAAAAGCAATTATAAATTTTCCAACCAGACCCCACTCCATCCATTCCCCCACCCCCACCCAAAAAAAGCAACCCAAATCCCAATTCTGTTGGGGTTTGGGGTCAAGATGTACACAGTCTTATCCATGTGATAACAGAGAGACTGTGTCCGTTAGACCATAATTGCATTCCTGCATTTATTGCTCAAAACTTCATAGAAAGTAAGAAGCAAGGGAAGTTTAATGTGTCATTTTGATTTAGTCCATTATGTGTCCTACAATATAAGATTGTTAGAAAACAAAAAACACACATTTCTTTGAACCATATCATCATATACTAATGTAAAGAAATTGAAAGCATGTTTAAGGGCGAAAGTCTAAGATTAACCACCCATATTTTATCAACACACCAGCAAGGCATGCATTGAAGATTTATGGATGTGCTATCCACATATGTACCTTAATGCTAAAGCAAACCATACATCAAATTTGTCTTTTTGTCTGACATAATTTCACCATTTCAACTTTAGCCAATTGCAAAAAACATATCCCCAATGAATTTAAATAAACCACTTAATTAGTTGCAATGGAAAGGATATGACCTGCACAAGAAAAAACAGAGAGACAGACAGCTCACAATTAGATACTTTGACCTCAGAATACTAAGTTCACTCTGGCATTCAAGAAATCAGGCGGGTAATCACATAAAAACAACAAATTTGAACTTCTCACCATAGTCCATAGATATACTGACATACTAGTAGATATGGCAAGACACACACACTCACACACGCTTGCACAACTTAATAACAATGTGAAGATAAGGGGAAGATTATTAATTGAAAAAATTGCTTTTTGAACAGAGGGGTATTTGGAAAAAACAGTTAGCATATACTACGTAGCACATAGTGTATACAGTTATTGTAATACTCCCTCCGTCCCAAAATTATTGTCCTAATTTGACATTTTTGGCCAACTTGACCACAAATTGTAGAAAAAAGTAAATTTACTTTTTATTTAAAATTAATATAATTATATTTTTTTAATATATAGTTTTGATAAATCAATTTTTTTTTAAAAAAAAATATTTCTTTAAAATTATATTTAAATTATGATCAAAGAGATCATAAAGTCAAACAAGAACGATACTTTTGGGACGGGGGAGTAGTTTGTATTAGAAGGTTTGATTTGCATTTAGCCCTTCTCTAAATTCTGTTTGGTAACCTAGCACAATGCTTGAAAACAATGCTGAAGTACTAACAAGTAACAACAAAATGTCATTTTTCAAAATTATGATCATATCAACACTATTTGCTCAACATATGTCTAAATCAAAATGCAACATTACCAAACACTTTGAATAGCGATTTTTACTGGTAAAAAATGGCGTTTTGTTCAAAATGCTGAAAAACAAGCTAATGCTAACCAAAATGCTGTTTACCAAACATGTCCAAGGACAACAAAGAAAGCAAATCATTTGAGTAATGAAGCTAGCTCATACGCACGGATGCAATTAACACAATATACTACCCATTACCAGGAACGAGAGGGCGTAGGTTGACCAAAGCATATGAGAATTTGGTTGAGAAGAAGACTTCGCTGGGATCAATTTTGTACGGCCCGAATTTGTAATGCTCCGCCTCCATCTGCAATCAATCGCGCAGAAAACGATGGATGAGTGTCTTATTTCGCTCACTAGTAATAAATTGAAATTTCAAAAAATCCACACACACAGACAAACAAACAAATCACGAAAAAAGGAAAACATGGCGATGTTACAGACGGGTTTTAGGTTTTGCCTTGAGCTTTGAGTGATTTACAGACGAAGACGACGAAAAAACTCGTGGCGCGAGGAAGTGACGCGTATGAGCGAATTGATGGAGTGGATGAATAGCTCTCGAGGATGAAGATGATGACGAGAGGAAGGAGCAATGGCGAGAGAGAGCGACGTTGGAGATTAGCTTTGACATTTTGTACAGTAGCCTGAGCTGAGCTTTGTGCTGGTTGCACTTTGCCCTTTGCCGATTGTACCCCGGTCTGGATGTTCCAATCGAGCCAAACCGGCAATGTAGCCCGAACCAGTGTTCCTTGAGAAACCTTTTTTTTTTTGAAGGATTGAGAAACCTACTTATGAATTATGATATCATTATTTTTTTCTCCATGTAAATAGAGATAATAATAATTGGGTGTTGAGAGTCACATCCCACTAAAATACTGAACACACTCCATATACTAATTTCACTTCATTAGTTTTAAAATATGTTTCACATGAACGTATATAGAATCTAAAAATTTTAAGATTTTGATAAAAATACTTTATGAATTAAAATACCCATAATATTATTATTTTATTTTTATAATAAATATTTTTCGAAACTCTAATAAATATATTTTTAATTATAAGATATGATATCTTTTTGAAATAAAAGTTTTATTTTTAAGAATAATGCACGTTTATTAATAGTCATATAAATCTTTGTTTTCAGAAAGCAATAAAAGAGAAATATGTTTGTTTTTAGATTTTAATAGTCATATAATATCTTTGTTTTTAGATTTTAAAAAAATGATGAAATACGTATTGATACATTACTCAAAAAAAAGAAGGTTTTAAACAAGGTCAGTGGTTATTCAATCAAATAATAATGAAAGTTATTTTAATTAATGAGAGATTCCAAAGTTTTAAGATTATAATTCAAACAAAAATTAATATTTATATGTTTTTTTTAAACTAATAATCTATAAAGTAATATAAATGGTGCATAGTTTTAAGTATATATATTTTAAACAATACTCCATAACATATTAATGGATCATGGGGTGAATTTAATTGATGGGGTGTATTTAATGCTTTGGTGGCGTGACTATCACTACCCATAAATATTACGAAGTAATTAATATTTATACGAATTGTATGTGTTTCTAATGTTAAAGTGGCGTTATAAATTGGCTTTATCTGGAATTTTCTATCTCTCAATACGGAACTAACATTTCTGTGAAGTTATCGAGACAATGAATAAAAGAGTTGGATTTATAAAGTAAATTAAGAGTGTTGGAAGTCTGGAATCCAATTTTGAATCTAGCTAAACAAGATAGAACTATATACCATTGGACTCAAAAGGTTCTTGCTCTAAAAATATTATTGAGCCCTTCAACCATCAATTAATCTACATTTTTTTAAATTTCAATTTGTAGTTTAATTCGTCTTGTACGTTGATTTTGTTTAGAATAATATTTCCGTTAAATTAACTTTGAATTGTCTACTCTATGGCTAGTTGATATTCTTGTACTTTGTATTTGATTGGGTAAAAGAAAAACACATTTGTGTAGATCTTGCATGAATTCTTCATGGGTAGGCAACATTCAAAGTGAAATTAGACTATGTCGCTAAACTCGTAAAAATTTAATTCATTTATATAATATAATTAGCACGTGTTTATCATTTGTTATTTTGATACATTTGTTTTCTAACTTAAAAAAACCTGAAATTCCAAAACATGGTCCAATGGAACGTGCACAATAATGTCTCAACATGTTGTCCTTCTGCCACTTTTTCTTTGTAAATGATTGTTTTGTTCTATACTCGTATAACTTTTAATGTATTTCTTGCATATAAAAAATTATTTTTCAAATTAAATTTAATGTCATATGCAACGATAATTTTGAATAATTTTGTAAGGACTAACAAATTTTAATCATAAAATGCTTACATTCCTTAAAATATAAAGTAATGAAGTTAGCTCGTAGTGTAGCTTAGCTAGTCAAGAGAGGAGCACCACAAGAGAGACTCGGGGTATGAATAAAGTTAAGGTAATTTTAACATTTTAAAGTTATCAAAACTGCAAACGCTATACAAACAAACAAAGGCAAGTATTATTTGCATCGTATAGAATATAATTAAATGTGGATTCAAAATTTAGGCTCAATAAACTTAAACTGTTGGAGTTAAACACAACCTTTTCGATATGATTTCGGTTCAATGACCACTCTCTTTGAGTGGCCATAGAGAATACTAGACATCTATAGTATTTCATTCTTAAAATGTGTAATTCTTTCCCACAAATCCATGATCAACCCTCCCATCTAGTCTCATTTCAACTCATTCTCCCACCTACATAAATGATTTTGATTTTTGAAATAAAAAAATTTGATTCCAAAATAAACTTTTATGGGTAATTAAATTTTGCAGCACGGAGTATTAAAAACATTTTTCGCAGCACGGAGCATTAAAAAACAAAAAACCCCGCAAATTTTTGCCGGGGCACCGGGGTCATAGTCGGCGATGGCGGACGGCAGCGGCGAAACTCTATAGAGTGGGAGCGATGGAAGTGGCGGCGGAGGGGCTGTGGGGATTGGCGGATTATCACGAGAAGAAAGGTCAGATCGGAGAGGCTGTAAAATGCTTAGAAGCCATATGCCAGAGTCACATCTCCTTCCTCCCAGTCGTCGAAATCAAGACTCGTCTCCGTGTGGCCACACTTCTCCTCAAGTACTCCACCAACATTAACCACGCCAAAGCTCATCTAGAGCGCTCAGTAAGTCATGTCTTACTTCAGTTCTCCATTGGGATTCCATCGCAAAAGTGATCGTTTTATCCCAATTTCTCAAATGCATTCATCTATGTATGTTAATATGGTTATCTGGGTGCTGAAATTTCATGGTCCTATTTGAGAAATGAGTTATTGATGTAGATTCGAAATCAAGGTTCTTAGAACTTAGGGTTTGCGATTGAGTTCTGTAATTTAGGTTCGGGTGAGTTCTTGGTTAGTATATACTTTTAGGATGTGTTTGGTTGGAAGGAAGGGGAGGGAAATTAAACCCATCCCCTTGTTTGGTTGTAAAATGGTGGAGGGAAGGAGACCTAATTTTTTGGCTTTCATTCCCTCCCTCCCTCTATTTCCATTTCCCCCAAATCGGAGAGAATCAATGTGCTTTCCTCTCTTGTCCGCCTCACCGGACACTGGCTTTATCAATTCCTCGCTGTGCTCATCCCTCTTGTCAGCTGCCTACGAAAAGTCGATGTCCATCGCTCTCTTTCGCCTTCATTCCTCCCATTCACTGTCACCTTCTGTTTTTTTTTTAATTTTCTTAGTATATACCTGAGTATGAAAGATTGGCTAATCAGATCTTGTCATTAAATCCAATGGTTTCAGCTTTTGTTCCTCCCGTCAGCATTGGTTCCTTCGTCGGCAATGAGCAAACCCCTAGTAATTGGCGTAGTTAGAGTAATTTCGCATACTCCGGTCGGACTTCCAAACAATGGGCGAACTCCCAAATCTTGTCCTACTTTCCTTTCCCTCCCCAACCCAACAAGGTGAAGGGAAACCCCTCACATCCCTTCCCATTCCCTCACACCCCCTTCCCCCAAGGCCCCAACCAAACAGGCCCTTAATCTATGTGTGGCGGTTGTAGACTTGAACCAATCAGTTTCTGTTCCCCCCAGCCAGTCAATTATCCACAGTCCAACCAGTCGATTTAAAGCTCTGCTGCATTTGCTGGCCTATTAGAAACTGCCAGCAATGAATTGATTTTACCCTAAGTATGATAGAAATCATGTGATGCTGCAACATATGATAGGGCTGTAGTAAGATTGTAAGTAATTTGATCTTTTCAAGTATTGTGTTTCAGAAGAGAATTAAACTTTCACTAGGGCACATATCTGCTCCCTTTGAATTTTTGACTGTTGCTAGTAGCAGTCTACTAATATTGGTTATAATAACAAGTCTTTATGTATAATTATGTATCTTCTCAATAAAACAAGTTTCAAAATGAACAGATGTTGCCTGTCTGTCGAGTATTGTTTTCTTGTGTCACTAGCCTAGCTTGCTTTTAATAATGATACCTTTACATGTTTCAGCAATTGCTTTTGAAGTCCATTCCATCATTCTTTGAGTTAAAGTGCAGAGCATACAGCTTATTGAGCCAATGTTACCATCTTTTGGGGGCCACTGTGTCTCAAAAACAGATACTCAATAAGGGATTGGAACTAATTGCAACTTCTGAGGATGGGTATGCTTTCTTTGCCTTAGTTGAATTAGTTGAATTTCTAACAAATATTTCATTTCCATCAAATAAAAAAGGAAAACAGATGCTAGTTTTAAAAGTACTGGAGGACGTAGTTAATTTATCACAGTTAAATGGGTAACTAGCTGAGTTTTCAAAATGTAAGGGGTATATTTAATGCTTTTGTCTCTAATGTTCCTTAGCTGGGAACACTTTCTTCTATACTTTTCAAGTCTGTGTCTCCACTTTCTGTATGCTGTCATAAACCGATACAAAAACCTCGCGTGTCCTCTTTTACCAGAGTCTGCCCGTGCACTGCCACTACTGTGTATTACATCTCTCAGTTCCTCTCTTTTTGAAGGTTTTCTGCACGGTTATGGTTCTGCAATTTCAATTCTCAGCTTGCAAATGCTTTGATAATTGAGCAAGACTTTAACGGATCAATTTCTGCTTTAGAACGTGGGCTGTGTTCTGCAGCTGAAATGTGCTACCCAGAGTTACAGGTTAGTTTTTACTAAGATGAATATGTTCTTCAGCACAATGTCTTATACAGAGTTTGTTTCAACATTTTAATATGATATATGCTTAAATTCTGTGTTTATATATGTAATATATCTGATATCTCACTGAGCATTTAGCTTGTGTTTGTGCCAGATGTTTTTTGCGACCTCTATCTTACATGTACACCTCATGCAAGGGGAGAATGCAAGTGTCGTTCAGGAAGTTGTCAATCAATGTAATTTAATCTGGGAATCAATTGAGCTAGATAAAGTAAGTTGATTTGTTATTATCTGCATGTTGGTGGTTCAGTTAAGAAAATACGGAGTATGTTGCAAATTTACAACATTTTGAGAGTCTTTAGGAAATGCTTCATAGTTTTGTTATTGTTACTTTCCTACAATTTATGCTGAACTTTTGAGTTCTGGCTGCCTTTTAGTTAGTACTTATTTTTGTTCATTTGTTTTCTGAAATCAGAAAATTAACCTTGAATTTTTTGTTCTCTCTTGCCTGATACAAAAAGAGACAGCAATGCATTGGCTTGCTATTTTATTACGAGCTGTTGCAAGTGTTCTATCTGCTTCGAATATGTGACTATAAGAATGCTGCACAGCACGTCGAGAAATTAGATGATGCAATGAAGTCTGACTTACAGCGGAGACAACATGTCAAGGATCTCAATGAAGAATTAACTGAGCTCAATAGAAGTCTTTGTGGTTCTGATATTAACTACGCAGACAGATCTGCTTTATCTCAGAAACGGGCTCACCTTGAAGAACAGCTCAATAATTTAACAGGTTTGGGTTCAACCGGCCAAGAATATTTGGAACCAACACATTTTGGAAATGTGAAACGTGTATGGGGCGATAAGCTCGAATTGGCACCACCTCCTATTGATGGAGAGTGGCTACCAAAAGGTGCTATTTATGCATTGGTGGATCTTACTGTAATTGTATTCAGTCGTCCCAAAGGACTATTTAAGGATATTCTGAAGCGGATACAGTCCGGACTACAAACCATTAAAGGTATGTGTAATCCTAAAGGACAATCTTTTTACTTTGCCTGACTCTCACTAGAAACTCTTGCTTACATAATTTTCTTGCTTCACTCTATGTAACGCTCCTTAAGTTAGGGAAATATGATATACTTCCAGAAATAGTTGGAAGTTAATGCTCTTCTTTAGGACAATTTGTATTAATTTGCTCCTTTTTCTAAATACTTTGCACGTGTAAAATTAAAGTGAGGCATAAATTGCATGGAGTTATTTAATGTGAGAGGAATAGGTTGAATTGATGAAAAAGTTGAGAAACATGGAATGACTCGAAAAGGAAAGAGTGCTAAGCAATAAGAAACAAAGGGAGTTTTTCGTTATCTAAGGCCTCCTGCCGGCCTAAAATCCCATGGTTTTTTTTCCTGAAAGCATGCAATGCATTAACCTTTTAAAGTTGGCTTCTTATACTTGGAGCTTAATTGACGCTTGCTTTTTGCAGGGGAACTTGAAAAACTTGGGATCAGTGATGGGGTAAGAGGTGATCTCACATCCCCTGTATGCTCTATTTTATGATCTATTTCAATGATTTTCTGTATTTTTCAGCTGACATATAATCAGTTACCAGAGATGAATTACTTGAAAACTGTAAGCAAACCTTTGAAAGTGAGGTTAGTGACACACTTTGCTAATATGCAGAGGCGGATCTGCTACATTCTGCCATTTGGATGGCCAGTGTTTTATTAAACATTTTGATGCAGTTTTTTGAAAATAAAGTTGCAGTTGATCTCACACGATCTGAATTTGTTGACGCACAAGAGGTTTGTTATGTGTGCTTCTAGCATTTGTCTCCAAACAAGTTCTATTGTTCCTATTTATTCCACCACCAAAAATTAAAAAGAATACAAGCTCTTATTGAAGTCCTAATAATCAAATGGAAAAGTTTGCACCATTACTCTCAGAATTGTGTAATTTTACTTACATACTCTGAGATTCAATAAATGACACTAATGCTCCAAAAATTTTCATGTGTTTACAATGGTGTTCTAAGGTTCAACACTAACATATGTTTACATCGGTGTCCTAACATAAATATAAACATTTATGAAGTATGGGAGCACCGATGTAAATACATGAAAATCAAGGAGCAAATCTCAGAATATTTATGTAAATTCGTATGATTTTGGGTGTAATGGTGTGAATTTTTCCTAATAAATTTTCATTTCTTTCTATTGGAGGTCTAGTACATATATTGACAATAAAGCTGTAAACGGTAATATTTCTACTTTCTGCAGGGTTTGGTGCAAATGAGAAATTGGTTTATTCGCTTCCCGACAATTTTACAGGCATGCCAGAGTACTATTGAAATGCTTAGAGGGCAGTATGCACATTCTGTTGGTTGCTATGAAGAGGCCAGTTTTCATTTTGTTGAGGCTTCAAAGGTATTTTTATATGCGTTAGTCATAAAAATCACATTTGTGATCAAAGGCACTTTTTTTTACATATTTCTAAATTGTCGCTAAATATGGCGATAATTCTGGTAAATAACCAAATTGTATAGTTATGGAGTTTTTTTCAGGTGCGGTAAATTTGCATAGCTACAAAAAATCATCTATTCCTTATTTAATTAATGCACAGGTTCATATCAATGTTTTTCATAGTTTGTAGTTTCTCTATACAGATGGAGTTCAGGAGAAATGTGAAAAACATTGATGATGTTTTAGCTTTTAATATATGTTAGTAGTATATTATTGACAAATTCCATAGAATGTGCAATCCACTAATGAAACCGTGTACTTGCAAGAGTCTTAGATAGTTAGATTAGATGTCATAAACCGTTGTCATTTGGAAGCAAATATACAAGCATCTTTCTTAGAATCAATCTTTCCATCATCTCCGATGGAGCCAAATTTTCACCATTTTTTTGGCTTTGGGGTGTGATGGAATAAATCAAAATGGATCTCTAAACTGTCTGCGCTTCTTTAATTAATGAAGTAGCAGTTAGTCAAGCAATGCAACTTTCGACGTTGAGCCGGGGGTCTCTTTGGAAACAGCCTCTCTACTTTCGAGTAGGGGTAAGGTCTGCGTACACACACCCTCCCCAGACCCTACTCTTGTGGGATTTAACTGGGTTGTTGTTGTTGTTGTTGTTGTTTCTTAGAATCAATATTCCAGATCACACCATGAGTGTTGTTTTTTTAGCTTACAGAGAGCACGAATATGCAAGCTATGTGCCACATTTATGCAGCAATCTCATTTATCTGCATTGACAATGCCGAGTCCTTTTCAAAGGTAAAATCATTTACACTCACACTCACACACCTAAATTTGTTTGGGAGCGAAAAAGGGAACACTAATTTGTCTGGTGGAATTTGGAAAATGACAGGTTAAGAAAACAGAGAGAAAAATATAGCGGAAATGTGGAAAGAAAAAAATTTGGGAGAAAATAAATCTCATTCTGAAGTTCAAACTTAATGAATTTATTTTTAAGATTGCATCAAAGTCATTTTATAATTTTTACCCTATATATTCATTTATATTCCATAAATACTACGGTAAGATATTTGAACATATGCAGATTTTTTAAAAACATTAATCATATTTAATTATGGAGGTAAAAATGTAAAATGTAACACTAAATCAATTTTTCTACTTTTTCCCTATAATTTTCCGGGATTTAAACATAACATAAATACATTTGTTATAATGCTGATTTGAGAATATTATTCTCCTTTGCAAACAACTATTCTCCAAGCAGGCTCTTGAACTTATTGGACCAGTTATGGGAATAATCGATTCTTTTGTTGGAGTACGAGAGAAAACCAGTGTCTTCCTCGCACATGGGTTTCTGTTGATGAGGCAGCAAAGTGCACAAGAAGCAAGGTATAAGTGAAAAAACCCACTCTAATTTAGTTTTGGCCTTCTTATATCTTTCTCATAGTTGACTTGCACTGTGCTTGGGTTAACCTTGTTGCAGAGTTAAACTAGCTGCTGGTCTGCAGATAGCACATAATTCATTGGGGAATCTTCAACTCGTTTCACAATACTTAAGTGTGTTAGGGAATTTAGCTCTTTCAGTTCATGATACTGGACAAGCTAGGGAGATCCTGAGATCGTCATTAACCCTGGCAAAGAAGCTATATGATCTTCCTACTCAAGTTTCTGTACTATCCAATTTGACTGGTGCGATTAAACTTTCATGTTGCACCACAATTGTGAAATCTTTCGTGTCTTTTCTTGCTATAATTTTGGTCAATTCTGTCCTTTTCATCAGCTCTATACAAGCAGTTGGGTGAGGAAGGGAATGAAAGTGAGAATCGCGAATACCAAACAAAGAAATTAGAGGAGCTACAAAAGCGACTCAGACATGCTTGTTCATCTAATCACCATAAGGAACTGGTAAAAAAAGCACTTGTTACAACTTACAACCAAATCCCTCTCAACATTTATGTCCAGTATACTACTTTAAGGGTATGTTTGGATCTCTAGTAATGTTTGGCATTGCCCTTAAAAACGTAAAAAGATTTGATTTTGGCATCTCTTTAAGCTTCCCCCAAATTTTCTGTCATTCCATTTTAGCTTTCCTAAATTTTCTGTCTTTGGAACTCAGGCTCTTCTTTTTTAAGGACTGTGCTAGGATAACCCTCTTATTTTTTAAGGACTGTGCTAGGATGACCCCATGCTTTGCACAGAACACACAGACGATAATAATTATTTGTGTGGGGTCACCCATGTGGGGTTACCCAGGCTTTACCATGGGGTCACCCATGTGGGGTTACCCTGGCTTTACCCTATTTTTAAATGCATGTCATATGTGTTAGATTGCGAAGGTGAAAACCGAAGTTCCTGAGTGGAGTAATTGCAATACAAGAAGAACAACATCCAACCCCACTACAGGAGTTTATTTGGACATTCCGGAATCCATCGGCCTATCAACTGCTTCTCCCATCCCCAATTCGTCTTCATCAAGATTAATGGAGGTTGATCTCGGGAGGAGGCTCAGAAAGAGAAACATGTAGCTATAGCTTCCTTCCCACGTCCAAACTGGTTTGGTCATGCTTTCATTTTATTTATAGTAGTAGGATATATGTCTGATGATGATGATGATCTGATGATGATGATGATGATGATGATGATGTGCTCCAAACAAATTCAGTGACAATGTGAATTAGCCGTTTGTGAATTTGGATGGTGCGACTCTTTGTGTTCACTAAAAGGCTTGCATTGTTGCACTATTTGTGTATATAATTTTACATATGATTGTCATTCCTTCTATCAAACTAAAAGGTTAGCTTCTAAAATGCTTTTAATTTTGAATTCTTCTTAAATAATATTTTCCTTTTCCGTCTGTCCAAAAATAATTTTCCGATTTCTATTTTTGGAAAATTTTTTATACCAAAAAGTCTAAATTACCCTCCCCACCCACTTCCTATCCTTTCTTTTTCTTTTTCTTTCCCCATCCATTTCCTTTCCCATCTGTCAGTTTTTTCTCTCTCTTCTTCTTCTCTCTTTTCTTATCTTCTTCTACTTTGTTCTTCTTCTTCTTTTACTTCTTTCTTCTCCTTTGCTTTTCTGAATTTTTCCTGTAAATTGAGAGCAGTGAAGCAGCGATCGGGGTAAAGGTGGGGAAGCAAGGTGGTGGTGTGGTGGTGGTCGGAGGTGATAGGGTAGTCCGATATCCTCTTCTTCTTCTTCTTCTTCAATTCCCATGCTCCAACGCCTAATCCATCTTCAACTCTTCTTCTTTCTTTTCTTCTTTCTTGTCCATCTCTGTCAGATCTGAAAATTTCGATTCAGATCTGTGAAGGAGGTTAGCGTCAACAAAGAAATCGGCGGTGGTGGCGGAGTACAGGTACCGATTGATGATGGCGTGTTGGATCGGAGGGAAGGAGCCCCAAGTTTCTTCCTTCTTCGTCTTTTTTTAATTAAAGGAGCAGGCATAGGTGACTGCGAGCGGTGAGGCGGTGGTCGAAGTTGACGTGGTAGACCATCAAGGCGGCCGTTGGTGATAATTGCTGAGCAACGAGGAGGTTTGGCCTTGTTGGGGGGCATCCAATTGCACAGACAAAGAAAATGGGTGGACAAGAAAAGAAGAGAATGGATGAAGGGGTATTTTAGGAAAGTCAAAGTAAATTTCATATTTTATTAAACTCCGTGCCAAGTCAAAGTGAGAACTTTAATCTTGGAGTCTTGGACGGAGGAAGTTCCATTTTTTTGTTGTACAAGTCTACATATTCATACAATAAATTGCGTCTTCCATATGTCCAAACTTGGATCGGAGCAGATCGAAGAAGGACCATTTCTTGGAGAGGCGACCGGACAGAAAATGCTGAAGTAGAAATCATCTTAAATAGGACTAAAATCATTCTGTTGGCTATGAACAAATACTTGGACAACTTTATGTTGTTTCACGGGTAACCTCTTGCAAAAGATTGAAAATCTTAAATTGTGATTAAAAAAAGAGTAAATTTCCAAAATAGTCCTCTGTAATGAGGAGTTTTCCCAAATTAGTTCTCAATAAGTTTTAATTACCTACGTGGTCCTCTATAATTGAGATTTATTCCCGAAATAGTCCTTTGTAATAAGGTATTTTCCAAAATCAGTCCTCAATAGGTTTTAATTATCTACGTGGTCCTTTGTAATTGAGATTTATTCCCAAAATGATCCTTCATAAATAATATTACTCAAATGAAGATTAATTGAGGGTATTTTTTATCCGCTAAATTTAGAATTAATTCTTAAAATAATCATTTATAATAAAGTGCTTTCCCACAATGGTTTTTCTAATTAAATGGTTTTTCAATGTATTTTTTAAATTTTACATTTAATTGTACAGAAATGATTGTTTCGAGAATATACTTTAAATTTGGATGATCAAAACACCAAAATATCTCCCAATTCATCCTAATTTGAGGACTGATTTGGAATAACACCTTATTACATAGAGATAAACCAAATACATTTATAAAACTTAAAAAAATCTTTTAAATTTTAAATCAAATACTCTTATTTAAATAGAAAAACCATTTTGGGAAAACACTTCATTATAAATGTTTATTTTAAGAATTGATTCTAAATTTAGCAGAGAAAAAATACTCTCAATTCATTCTCATTTGAGTAACATTATTTACGAAGGACCATCTTGGGAATAAATCTCAATTATAGAGGACTACATAGGTAATTAAAACTTATTGATGACTGATTTGGGAAAACACCTTATTACAAAGGACTATTTTGGGAATAAATCTCAATTATAGAGGATCACGTAGGTAATTACAACTTATTGAGGACTAATTTGGGAAAACACCTTATTACAAAGGATTATTTTAGGAATTTACTCTTAAAAAAATCCTTTAGGCTACACACCAATGTTGTTTTTAAGGACCTCTTTCAAAGTCATAATATACGAAGTAATAAATTTATGTTTTTTAAAAAATAATTAGTAAAAAAATATGTTATCAGTACATCATCTACTACGTATCACATAAAAAAGTTTATTTTTGTGAGAATTAATAATTTTTCTAATTTCTCTTTATATCAACAAACTCATTATAAAAAAAACATTCAGTTTTTTATTCAATTATGATGTTTATTTATTACAAAATGATTCTAGTTAAAGACTAGAGTGAAACGAAGAGCATCGAAGAAATTTTACTTCCCGACCAAAAAAAGTATTTAAAAAAGGGTAAACTTGTTCGCAATTCTAAAATCTACAATTATTTTATTGACATTACTATATAAATATAATTGATGAATTAAGTTTCTTAAAAAACAAAAAAAAGCTCATGTCTATCTTGTAATTCATCAATTATATTTGTATACTTCATTTGTCCCTGAAGGATTACCATAATTTGACTTTTTTTTGGCGAAACTGTGGCATTCTTTGGTCACGAATTGTAGAAAAAATATATATATTTACTAAGTGACCGAGGGGGAGAGGGAGTTTCTAGTAGCCCTCCCCCCCCCCTCCCCCAAGCGTCTCGGCTCAAAAACGAATACATTCAAAGCAAGTGTGCATTTTAAAGAAAATAGGCAGAGATGGGAATCAAACCACAGAACTAGGCTAGTATCATCAACTATTACAGCAAGGGGAGAATGACCTATGAAGAGTAGTACATCATCAATTCATCATCACCATAAACATATTACACGCGTTTACCGTAGGGTTGGGGGGAGGTGAGAGTCATAAAGAGTGCATCATCACCATCACCATTCTCACTATCACCATCACCATCACCATCATCATCATCATCATCACAAGACATATTGTTCCTTGTAAAATCAAGTAGTCAAAGACTATAGAAACTCAAAGCCAACCTCAATTGTGACTTGTATACCTGTTTCATATAGGTAACAAAGCAGCATAAAACACAATGCAAGTGTACAGTATATAAGAATGCATCAAAGAATATAACAAACAAAAATTTGGCTTCTGTCCCAGCATTAAACGAATCATACTAAAAATTCAAACAAAATCAGCTTGAGACTTGAGAGTCTTACTCTTAATCTCAAGAGTAAGTAGGAGTGTAAGACGGTCAATGAAAAATACAGCAGCCATAGAACATTAAGAGTAGCCATCAAACAAAACAAGAAGCACATTATCATGCACAAGCCAAAACAAAAACACTTGCAGTATATATCAAGCACATTCCAAATATGTAATTTCAGAGGACATGCATTATTTTTAAAAAAAGATATTGTGCTCTTACAAGTTAATCTTACTAAACTTTCATTCACTCAGACTGTCCCCACCACAGTATGTTCTTCCCCTTTGTCAAGTAACACCAGGCTCTCCACGTAGCTACCAAAAAATAAATAATGATAGCAGTTCGTTCCACCAAGACACTTAAGCTGCTGCTTCTGATGTTCTCGTTGGTGGCAGTTCAAATCCAGCATAGCTAGCTCAAAATCTGGCTCATGATCCCTAGATTCCCTCCTCACACTAAAAAAAAGTTTCCCTTCCTTCCTAACATCAAATACTTGAATCACTTTGCCAAGATTTAACTCTTCATTTTCGTCAACTAAATGTAACACCTTCGTCCATGAACTATCTACACCGTACTCCTTCATGACCTACAACTCTGTGTGCCAAGGTGAGTTTTCCCAAGCAACCAGTGCAATGGATTCTTCATATTTAATCAAGGACATTCGATTTTCAAACTGAGCTAAAGTTTCAGGAATATTGATCACAAAGAATTTTTCAGTGCTTACATCAAAAGCAAAAATCATAGGTGAAAGCATGCCATAATGCAAAACACCATTCACAAAAACCTTAATCTCAACTTCATGATAAATATAAATGGAAGAAGCACCATTAATGGGAGAAACTTCAGTAAGCCTCTTCCAAGAACGCCCATTCAAGGAAAATAACCAGACATCATTGAAATCTTCGGTTTCAGCATCAGACAGAATTAGAAGCACTTTGTAGTCATTTGATACCGAATCAAACCCGAAACCTATTGTATCAAAAAAATAGACCTCACAGGCCGCGGGCAAATCAGGCTCGGGCAAAATGAAATGTTTGTGAATGGAAGGATTCCACAAAACTATATTCCAAGCATCTTTCTCAACATGTGAGAGACAAATCAGGCCATTGCATGAACCAACAATCTCAGGATCCCTTAATCGCTTGAAGGGTAAGAAGAGCTGCTTGTACTCTTCAAAGGCATCATTGTCGCGATACAAACGATAAACATATCTCTCAGTCTCACTGTCCTCAATGAAACTGAGGAGGAGAAGGCCGTCCTGGAAAGACGCATCCCGTTGCAGATGAGTGGAAATGAAAGAGGGATCTTTGATGAGAGCGTACCAGGATTTGCAGACGGCGGTGCATTTCACCGCCGATTTCACCGGGAGTCGGCGGAGGATGAGCGCGATGACTTCAGGAGGCAAATAGGCATTCATCTTCTTGGTTAGGGATCTGGATTCCTGAGGCAAATAGTCCGACATCTTTCTTCTTCTTCGTCGTCTTGACTCCAAATCGAAATTGGAGAACGAAATTTGATAGATATAGAGAGTGGAAAGTCCGATCAGAACCGTGATTCGGTAAAATCGCTTAAAACATCAGTCCTGTAATCCCACTAACCATGAAGTTTTACCACTTTCAGTTACTATATCAGTAACCACTAACCTGTCTAACCCTAACCAACCCTTATTATTTCGATTTCTCTATAAAATAAAAAGTTAGGAAAAATTGATATAAATACTATTAGAAATTTGAAATTTTACAATAATACTCTCAAATTTAATAAAAGACATGGTGCTCCAAATTAAATTATAAGTTTATATTACTACTCCCATTATGCCTAATCAGCTTTTCTTATGCTTACATGTAAGTAATTATGCTTAGTTGACATCTTAGTTGTTTTTTTTTGTTTTAATAAGAGAAAAAATTATATAAATTCTCCTTAAAATTAAAAACTTTACAATAATATCTTCCTTTTACGTGTTACGATGTTAAATAAAAGTGGTGTGAAATCAAAAAATAAAATTATATATCTAAAAACTACACCATAAGATCTATAAAACTAATAATGATATAATTATATTATTTTATCAAATATATAATTAAAATAAATAAGCAAAGTAAATAAAATTTGATCTTGTTAATACTCTTAATAGTGAATGAGAAGATAATTTTTGGACGAAGGAGGTATTTTTTATTAAAATATAAAAAAATAACTAAGATGCCAATTAAGCTCAATTAATTAATCTTTAATATTACTAAATTTTTTTACATATTACTATATTAGTTTTTTATTATGTAATTTTTATTTTTTTAATTTCACACCATTTTTATATAAAATACTTTAAAAATAATTTCAGTCAAATATAATAATGTGCAATGAGAATATACTTTTGGGAGAACTGGAGTCCTTATTTGATTTTGGGAGTATTATTGTAAAATTTTGAATTTCTATGAGTATTTATATAAAACAACTAAGCATAATTACTTACATGTAAGCATAAGAAAAGCTGATTAGGCATAGTGGGAGTAGTAATGTAAACTTATAATTTAATTGGGAGCACCAGAGTCTTTTATTAAATTTGAGAGTATTATTGTAAAATTTCAAATTTCTGGGAGTATTTATATCAATTTTTCCAAAAAGTTATTACTATATCATTTTTACTCATTTTGATTGATCATTTTATAAAATAAAAAGTTATTCTCAAATTTAATTTTTTAAAAATTTTACTTTATTTTGAATCTTGTAATTTTTAATTTTTATTTATTTACTAATTTTCAAATAAAATAATTTTTTAAAAAATGATATTTTGTAAATTGTTTGAAACATTTCTTATGTTTTGTGATGAAGGGAGTAATTTTTTTAAATAATTAACCCCTTTATTCTGTAATAATGTATAAGAAATATCACTGAATATGAGTAAAAAAAGTATGAAAATACTAAAATAGAAGTCCAATGCCTTTTAAAACCAAGATAGGAGTATAATGACAATGTCATGCAAGACTCTCATTGATAATGCGATAGAAAAATGGTGACAGTGTAATATGTGAGTGTGATCAGTCGACCGCCAGTGATCCGCAATGGTGCTTTGGTGGTTGGCGGGAACGAATGGTAGAGTGGTGGTGAGTGTGACAGTTACAATGTGGTGAGCTTGACAGTGTAGTAATATCAGTTTAAACTTCTATTTTGGTGTCCCATAATGTTTTATGTAGTATTTTCTTTTCTGCTTGTCTCAAAAAATAATTTCACTTTTTACATTTGAAAACAAATTGGGATTATTATTACTTTTTTCCTTTGCACCACTCTCAATAATACTCCGTATAATTATACTCCCTTTGCCCGTATCTTTGTTCTTATTTGACTTTTCGCGGTCTCTAATATAATGTTTTAATTATAAATATCTTTATTTATATATATTAATACATTATAAAAATACGTAGTATAATATTTCAAAACTAAATATCAAAATGAATATATTGATATTAAATTTATATCAGAATTCAATATACTTGTTTCATAATTTGTGGTCAAAGTTAAAAAAAGTTTACCATCAAAGTCAAAATATGAAGAAATATGTGAGATGGAATGTGTATTTTTCTTAATTTAAGTGTCCGGTCAATTATGAAACGGAGAAAGTATAACTTATTTTTATTGTAATAATATCAAATGAGAATTATTGAAAAGTAAAGTGTATTACATTTTGTTCATACACTCTCAACATAATGTCATAATGAAGCTTGTAGAGTTAGTATCCATACCGGGATCGAACACAAGGTCATTGGCTATATATTTTCTTTTTGTTTGTTTAAAAAAAATGATTTCAATTTTGATAAACTCTTGGCACTCGGTTCCACAATCGTCTCAAGTTTAGGAGATCCGAGATATTACACTTTGTAATTAATATAACCAAAGAGCTTGTACTAAAAGAACTCAATATCTCACTGGGGACTGGAGGAGAGTTTAATTGAAAACGATGTTTTGATTAACATTAGTATTTTGAATTAATTTTGTAAAATTATAGATTAATTTGAAATTAATATTCATCTAATCTTTCTATATCTAACAGATTAATATTGAAAATATTAAAACTAAAATCTATTTCGTTGAATAACTTTTTTCAAAATGTTACTAGTAAGGGATATGCTAGAGGTACACCAAAGATGCCCAAATGTACATCACCCTCCTTTTTAACCATTCATTTTATATTATTTTTATTTTTTATTTTTTAAAATTTTTCTTACTTTTTTGTGTGGTGATGGAGGAGGTGTGAGATGTTTGGGATCCACTTTTGATGTACCCATTGCATTTTCCTAATTTTTAACCTTGCATACTTTACCTTTTGGGGGTTTTGGCTCTTTATCCTCTTCTTAGATTTCATTAATTTCTTTTTTTTGAAAACTAATACCGAGTTTTTGTTAATTTTTGATTTTTTATAATTAAAATTGAAAGTTTTGATCATAAATTAAATAAGATTGAACAAGAGTATTAGATATTGTTATAAAAATAATTTTATTAGATTTTACTTGTAAAATAGTTTCAAAATATCATTTTGTCTAGTTAATATATTATATAATTTTGCTTTAATTATAGGTCAAAAGTTAATCCTGAATGCTTATAAAAACTAAAATAAGACAAATACCATGTAACGGAAAGAGTGATGAAAGATTACAAGTTTTTTACTTCGTCCGTCCTAAAATGATCTGCCAGTTCGGCTTACGAAGTTTGACTAAAAATTATTTAGTTATATGTGAGTTTAGAAAAATTAAATTTATTTTAAAATATAATTTGAAAAATCAATATTTATTAATATTTAATTATTTTAAATCATATTTAATTCATAATTAAAAACTGCTATAAATTAAACAAAAATTTCAAATTATGTCAAGGGCGTACTAAACTTTACACTTATTTTAGAAAGTCACTTATTTACTCATCTCGACTAGGGTTTCACAGCTATCAAATTTCACTCTCAAACTTCGGATTGGATCCGGTCCAGAAGCCTTACGAAGAAGAAGAAGAAGAAAGATGTCTGAGTATTTGCATCTGGACGTCGTCGCGCTCATTCTCCGGAGACTTCCTGTGGAGACGGTGGTAAAATGCACCGCCGTATGCAAGGCCTGGTACGCTCTAATCAAGCATCCCTCTTTCATTTCGGCATATCTCCAGGCTGCGTCTCTTCGAGATGACCTTCTCCTTCAAAGAGCCCTCCACCATTATTATTTGCGTCGAGACAGTGATGACCTTGAAGAGCTTAAGAAGTTCCGCTTACCCTTGCATTTGTAAGTCCGTGGGGCGCAGCGGATAACACCAAACACGAGCTCTGCAAACAAATCAACCAGCTATGCTGCAGATAACATTCTGCAGCACTGTCACAAGCACACACAGAAGCAGATGACGCAGAGGGCGTTACAGCGCTTACTGGGCAGAAAGCTGTAATTGTAAAAAGCGTAAAAAATAACACCAGATATGTTTACGCAGTTCGGAGAAACTCTCCTAATCTGCGGGGACGTGGGGCCCACGTCCGTGTAATAGCCCTCCACTAAATCACTAGATGCAAGTTACACCGGTACATAACAACATGATGAGACACCCTTCTCCGAATTGCTATGACAAAACTTCTAATCTAGGATTTTTAACCCGAACTCTGTTCAGATCCGCTTCGGCTATCACATCTCCACCGAGATCACGAAGACAAACGTGTTGGCAGCCCTCTCTTTAAGCTCTGGTTCATCTCCTGGTTGTCACGATCTGGTTTGGCGTTGAAGATCTCATTCTTGATGTAGATCGTAACCTTCTTCACGCATGGGAAGCTCCGGGACGCGACGGGAATGCTCTACATCAGCGTATATTCTTTGTTTTCCCTCTCAATCGCTCCAAGTAATTCCCAGGACCTGCTACGTATTTATAGGCTTCTCTCAACACAATCCTAGTAGGAATAAGATAGTAGAAGTTGGCTTGAACTCTACTTCCTTAATCTTGATCCACAAGTAGCCTAAAGAGTTGGGATTCCTTAGCATGTACAGCTGGAGTTATTATCATGTAACCACAATCCCAATAGGTCTCTAATTCAGATTGCAGCTTAAAATCCCGTGCTCAGACCTCTGATCCCGCACACTGTGTTGCAGCATCGTGCTGTAGCATCTTCTGCGTCAACCTCGAAAACTGCAGCAGCTCTAGAAGTCTAAATAAAATAAACCTCTCCTAACAAATAGAGGTTTCTACCTAGCAAAACTCCTAACAAACATGGGATTCTATTTTGCCAAAAGATTAGCCAACACCATGGAACCAACAGCATTGTGGTAAATATGGGACTTTTACATATGTTGGCACATGTAATGGTCTCATTTGCCTCGTTGTTTGCAGACCTTCTTGGGATATAGTTTTGTGGAATCCGTCCATCCATAAACATTTTATTCTGCCCAGATTTGCGTGCCAGCAGGTCCGTGACCATTTTCCCAGCTGTCTTGGTTTTGGGTTTGATGCATTGTCCGAGGACTATAAGGTTATTCTAATTGCGCGTGAGGGCGGAGACCAAGAGATTTGGTTGTTCTCCTTGAATAACTGTTCTTGGTTTAGGCTTACTGAATTTTCTCCCAAGCATTGCTGGTATGGAGTTAGGGAGCTAAGGCAGGCTGTTTTTGTGAATGGTGCTTTGCACTGGAGCGGAGTTTTGGATTTTAGGCATGTGATAATGGCTTTTGATCTTAGCACTGAAAAATTTTACGTGATGAATTATCCAACAGCTTTGGTTTATTTTGATCCTCGAATCTCATTGATTAAATATGAAGGTTCCATTGCGGTGGTTACCCCTCGCTTCTTTAATTGCAATCAAGTTGACTGCTGGGTAATGAAGGAGTACAATTTAGATAGTTCGTGGGTGAATGTGTTACGTCCTATGGAAGAAGACGGAAATTCAGGTTTTGGTGAACACTTGATGGATGTATTTGGGGTTCGGAAGAATGGGGAGCTTTTAGTGAATTCGAGTGGGGGGCGTTTTTCTGTGAGGGAGATAGCTTTACTGGATTTGAACTGCCACCGAAAAGAGCAACAGCTAAAGCATCTTGGAATCTGGACCCACCATACTCATTCATCTGTTGTAAGCTTCGTGGAGAGCCTGGTGTTATTTGACAAAGGGGAACAAGATGCTGAGGGGCAGTTGGAGTGAAAGTGCAATGCCATTAGCCAGTAAGGCAGGAAGTGTGCCATCTCTTCTTATTGTACATGTCCTCTTCAATTACTTGCTTGGAATTGGAATTGGAATGCGCTTGTCATATAGTACTAGGACTATTCCTGTTTGACCTGTGAATTGTAATGTGCTCTTGTTTGAAGATTACTGTTAATGACTAATTTGTCTTTGTATGATGTATTTTCCATTGATTGTCTTGCTTAATACTTGCTATTAGGAATGGCCAGCAAGGTGTACGGGGATTCATTGCAGCAGCAATGATGAAGTAAAGTAGCGAGATAATAAATGCAGGGGAGACGAAGAAGCGTGCGAAATATGAGAACAGTTGGAGGGTAGTTTAGGAACATCATTGAAATCTTTAAAATGCCTAATTACGTCCACTGTATCAACTTACAATGATAAATTTTGGACAGAGAGGATATCAAAGTGAGAGGTCATAGAATGATACATAGTACAAATATTTAATACAAATAGTTGAGTTGGTGCAAAAAAACAGTACAAATATTTTAGTATATTGCATGTGTTGATTAAGAATATATTGGAGAATTAATGCATTTGAGGCTCCATTTAGATGCAGGTTAGGAATTCCAATATACTACTTTAAGTTGTACTGCTTTTTGAAATTTGTGTTTGCTAGAAACAAAAGTCCAATACTTGATTGTAAATGCCACTTTATTAGACCAATGAAATGCGAATCAATATCATTTGTTTTTCTGTTACTCTAGATTAAGTGTGATTACAATCAAACATCCCAAAGTCTCATTGCTAAGAAAAAAAACTCTATTATAGAACGTAGAAGATTGACCCCATATGAATCTGTTTGGAACATAAAAGAACATAATTTTGATCTTTGTCTACAAGGGAGAGCAATCTGGGTATAATTAGAGCTTTTATCCAAACCTTGAAGGCTCCTATGAATGTTCTATGACAGATGTACTTTGCATTGATTGTTTTACATAATGCTTACTTATTTCAAGTATATGGTTTGATGCATTACTTTATACTGGGTTCTGGTAATGTGCTTTTATTCTGTTTAGTTAGTTATTTCTAGAATAGAAAAGTGATGTTTGTGGTTGGATTTGATTGTGTAAGAGAAAAAAGAAAGCATCGAGTAATTATTGGTATATATTCCTCTGATGAGCATTGGACTGCCTTGCATATTCGACTGACATTTTTAATAGTCTATCCCTCCCATAAAATTCTTTACACTTTCTTTTTTCAGATGTCCAAGAGAATGTTCACTTGCTTTGTTTCCTATTTTAACAAGGAAAATGCCATATGTGCCTCACATTACTTCTCTTTCATTTAAACAAATTATGATCATAAACTTTGTGCTTTTTGACACTTTTTTCAGACTTTGTGAAAGCCAACATGTCAACTATGTAATGGGACGGAGAGAGTATTAAAGAAAGAGCTCATAGTACACGTATTTCATACAAATAGTTTAACATATTGGGTGTATTGGAGAATTAATGCAATTCAGTTTCCATTAAGCTGCATGCATGCCGAGTGGAATAGTTGTGATCATCATTGGATTTGAACTTTAGCTGTGAGAATTGTGCTTAAAAAAAGTTAGCAATGCCAGTATATATTTGGAGTATGTTGGATAGCTTCTTTTCTACTTATGAAATTGGTAATGTTTTCATTTTAGTAGGAACTCACTATATGTCTAATGATGATGAAGTTGATGGTGATGATGATGTACTTCTACTGCAAGAGTTGATGACACTAGTAATACATATGATGATGATGATGATGATGATGATGATGATGATGATGATGATGATGTACTCTTCTGTTAAGTCATTCTCCCCAAGTGTAAAAGCTGATAATACTAGCTAGTAGTACTGTTGTGTGATTTCCATCTTTGCAAACATTCCTCCACTATTTCTCTTCACTTGGGTAGAGTGACCCAAACAACCTAGTATTCATCCCTCTGATCATTCAAAGGTTCTATGAAAACAAAAGTTTATCTAGTTTGGATAGAATGAATGATATTGAACATAGTAGTATTAGGTCTTTCAAATGTCCAAAACAAAAACATAGTATATGCATGCCTTTGCACATAAAGTTTGTTTCATCACACTGAACTCATCTACCTTAGTGTGGATAATCTTGAACTTATCTTTGTTAAGCTGCTTTAATTTAGGGGCCTTTTGAGTCATTTCATCTTTGGTACTAGTTGGTACATCCAACGCCCCTTGACATTGCCTTCCCGAGTTTTGTTAGTCGTTTGGGAATCTGTTTTGACGTCCTTTTCTTGAAGCACTTTCCTTGCCACATTTCTCCTACTAACAGTCTAACACTCTGTTAATCGGTTTTACGAGTAACATTTTTAAAATTAATCTGTTAGGTATAGAAAGATTAGATTAATATCAATATAAGATTAATAGGTTATTTTATAAAAATTAATTCAAAACATTAATGTTAATCAAAACATTATTTTCAATTAAGGCAGATGAAGAAGAAGACGAAATTGGAGTGGTTCATTTGGTCACTACACCACACTTAAACTTTCCACCTTGAGGTATTGAGTTCCTCTAGTACAAGCTCTTTGGTTATACTAGTATTTTGACCCGTGCTATGCACGGGATTAAATTATTTTTTTGAAACGAATTTGTAATTTGTTTTTACAGCAACATTTTTCAAAAATCGAACAAAATAAAAGATTGAACATAAAAGTTAAAATAATGATAAAGCATATAACATTTGCTAATGATAATTTTACTACATACATTTGAAAATTAATATGTCAAACTTTTAGTTAAATTAAAATAATTTGGAAATTTTTGAGGTATACAATAATTTTGTATAATGTTATAACTTATAACACCTTGGTTACCATGACATTGAGATTCAATGTCATAGGATAACACGAGGTTCATACGATGTTCCGTTCAAAAAATTTGTAGTTCCTATCCCTCTAACCCCACCGGTAAACCCCCCCGGCCCGTACCAAACATACCCCTGCAGCCCCCGTCAATTGCATACCATAAGATTTAGTTGGCTTTGGAGTCAAAATTTGACTCTAAAGTCAACTAAATCTTGTGGCATGCAATTGACGGGGGTGTAGGGGTAGTGTTTGGGTCGGGCCGAAGGTGGGGGGGTTTACCGGGAAGGTTAGGGGGTAGGAATCATAAATTTTTCGAAAGGAACATCGTAGATGCCCTAATCAGGGCTCATGTCATAGGATGACATGAGGGATTCATGTCACCCAAACCGCCCCCATGTTATAAAGACTACTAAAGGCATCTAAAAACAAATACTTTCAACTCTACTTTTATTGTCACTTGTGAGAGATCAATTTGTATAACATCAATATTATATTAACCATTAGCGAATGCTGACTTGATAAAATATAATCCTATAAATGACAATATTGGGCCTTAATTTTT